CCTTCCATTCTTCATTATGTACATAAATTACAAATTCAAATGCAGTTTGAAGGCAAGAGTAAAACAACGCTGGCTCAGTTAAATAGCCAAAGTTTCAGTTGTTAATTGAAGTCACTTACTCTCATGGACAAGAAAAAAAATTGAAAGAAAACTGCGTATGTAGTAATAACACATTCCACGAAAAGTAGCTCTGCCTTCCTAGAAAAGCTTATGTTAAGCTTGGAAACAGTAAGTACTAACTCAGTACACGTAAAAATGAATGTAAGACAAGTCGACGGGTCCGTCAGCAATCGTTTTCATCAAGAACCCAAAGAACCCAGAAGAAAACAGAAAAGGACCCCAAGGGGTTGTTACGGTCACTTTAGGGGTTCCACAAGAAAAAAGGGGAGTAGGATTTGAACAGGTTTTATCTTGTTGACATCACGATACAACCCAACAGTAGAACCAGTACTGACAAGTTAGCCTCACTTCCACTGATGCAGACTAATGTTGTTACCAATAATCTTTCCTTGTTCTGACATGTTTCTCGGTTGAACTTTGGTTTTTCTTATTTCTTATCACGCCACATTCTTAGCAGTTCCCCGTTCGGGAAGCGAGCTCCCATTACTATGTTTACTCCGGTAACTTACCATTAACATGAAATGGACCGTGTAAAGTATGGGCAGTGGTGTAAGGGCAAGTGGTGCACTAGCACACACGTATGTTCATGGGTTCGAATCCCCGACCGATATCCACCCGGGCCGACCAAGCCTTCGATCCCTCCGGGGTCGGTTGAATGGTACTATACTCATCTGGGAGGATGAAAGCACTGACTTGTACATCGCTGTCCACTGCAATTCACTGTATAGGGCTACACACGCATTCAGTACGCCACTACGATTCTGAATGGGAGCCGAATGCGTGGGCGCATCCCTAAGACGGGATCGATCAACGCCGCAAGACCTTATCCTTAATCCTTCTGAAGTATGGGCCTGTGTGGCAAGTGGCAGAATAGGTTTACGTTGATGAGACCGACCTGTCGTGCCATAGTGCCGCTTGTCATGAGGGTAAAATTAGGGTCCCGACCAGGCCATTCATACAGTTAAGTGAAGCTCAGCGAAAAAAAGCAAAACAGATGAATGCAACAAACTTTTCAGGTTCCGACAGTTTTACATTCGAAAACGAATAAGGTAAATAGAGGAAAGGCTAACAGAATATTATTTGTGCGGGTGATGAATGTTTAGCATGTTCCCACGCTCTCGATCCCCATTCAAAGTCATAAGAGCACTTGAACGCGCATTTCTCCAAAGCAGAATTTGGCCAGTATAAATCAGTTTTCACTCTCCCTTGTAAGTGTGCTATCTATCTGGTGACCGACCAATAAACGATGTAGGTCTTGGATGAGTTTACGAAATACAATTTGGTTATTTACCTCTGCACCAATTGTCCTCTAGTAATCATTATACTGTTGGGGATGACCGATCTGCGAAAAGGATGGCAATGCGACAGAAGTTCCGATGTCTTCCAACCCATCCACTGCCATCATTACGGCTAAGGGTCCTCAACAGAGGCAAAATCGAACAGTCAGGAGGGTTCACTATCAGAAATTGATTTCAAAGAGTAATAACAAAGAAAAGGGTGGAAGAAATGATGTTGACTTCTCCAGACACTTGGTGGATTTCTCACTATATTTGATCAACATTATTTGAATTAAAGATTCCAGTGGAAATCGCGTGAATTAGAAAAAAAGTGGCAAGTGTGCGGTAAGGGTGGATACAAAAGAGCTATTCCATCACTCTATTAGATCATTTACCAAGTAATCTTACAATTATCCCTTTTTCCAAAAATCTACGAGAAAATTATTAAAACAATGACCACCATTTCATGCTGTACGGTATGATCAGCAAAAAAATGAAAAAAAAAGAAAAGAAAAAAGTGATGACACACGATGGGGACGATGTGAAACGTTACAAATCGTCGCCGATGAGACGGAATCAATAGGCGATCAGTGATCGTAGGATGAGCACGACACTCGTTGGTAATTCGATTTTAAGGTACTCCGATAGTTGAAGGAACGTTTTTCTTATCTATAGAGGCCTCGTCCCATAGATAAGAAAAACGGCCTTGACTTTGTAGTTTTAGCGAGGGTACCATAGTCAATGTTTGTGAGAGGGTAAGGTGGGTCTATAAGAGGCAGGTTCCCAGCTATGAAACGTTTAAGTATCGCAACCTTCACAAGTTGTCCTTCAGCAAAGTAAGTTTCACAAAATGATAAACTCAACGTGCACTTTTTACTGGTAGTTGGACAAAACTTTAAGAACGGGAAATGAATTTTGCTGTTGGACACTGTAACTAACACGGGTGCTTCTCGAAATTACATCAACGTTGTTAGTGACAAAACAAAACGAATCCGGGTAAAAACGCTCAGAATGGAACTGCACGTTCCAAAAATGGCGTGATCAAGTGGAGTGAGAGGGCGATCATCAAATTAGCCGGAGCGATTAAGTGCAGAAAAACGTTCAATTATGTATGGTCGAGTAAACAGCTGCTGCTGGGGTGGTGTTACCATTGTAAAGCACCTGCCATTCCGGAGCAATTTACGGACCGAGCAGTTATCCTACGGATTACTCTGAACTTCGATAAACATGACTGAAAACAAGAGAAACTTTTGAAAAGTTATACATGTAAATCTGTATGCATAATCTGCTAAATTTTTTAGGGAGAATGCTTACTTCCTCAATAAAGTCTAGAGATTTAGATAACATAGTGGAGCCTAGAACAGAGGAACGGAAATAAAGCTCTTGACGTTGTTCAAACCCTTATTTTGAGGTGCGCCCGTCTTCGACTTTCATTCAAAACCGTAAGGCCTGTTTTGATGTATATAGGAGCCTGTACAATGAGTCGTAAAGTCGAACCAATGCACAAGTCAGTGCTTGTAGCCTCCCAGACCAGTCTGGCATCAATTTACCAATCGTCTGCGTAGGGATGGAAAGCTGGAAAGCTTGATTGTCCTGCGCCGATGTCGATCGGGCATTGGATCTCGAGCCAGGTGTGTGGTAGTGCGCCGCGCCACTACGCCAGCTCTGCTATCTAGTTGAAAATTTGGCAACCAAAGTCGCTAATTGAGCTTTTCGAGCAGCTTTTTCATACGAAAACACAGCTGTGTGTGGGCTCGCCTCTATTAGCAGAAATGTAGCTTGCGTGTTGTGCTTTCCTCCAATAAAAGTTACCATCACATTGTTTACATAACTCGAACTGCAAGTACTGGTGGTTGCACTCTGTGTTAAGCATAGTACGTGCATTGTCTTAGGCTTCTCATGGTTGGCTTCTTTTGTGACATTGTCCTCCATTAATCTCCTATTGTAGGGAGCAGCTATGTTGATCAATCGTCAATGTCATCGGCAGTTTTTCTTTTCTCTTGCGCTGTCGATACTACTTTCCGTGCTCGACCAGAGTGTCTTCAGGTGATAGAAATTGCAACGAGTAGCGGAAATTTTGCATGCACGACAAAATGTAAGTCAACAAGGACGGTAGGGAAACTCAGTAAGCGAGAGGAGAAGAGTGTTCAGCACCTGATGCAAGCTCGGCCTCCGGTAGAGTTACGGTAAAACTGAATCTACAGCAATTCAGATAACTCTCGAGTGGTGACTGAGGAATACTCTTGGACAAAGTCTGAAAGTCTATGAGCATTTATGAGATCTGTCCCACTTCCATTCAGAATCGTGAATGGTCTATAAGGTCTACAGGTCAGTGCTTTTATCCTCCCAGATGGATCTGGGAGGATATAAGCGTTGAATGAGCTCCAATTGACCGACTTGGGAGGAATGAAAGGCTTGGTTAGCCTAGACGAGTATCGATCCATTACTTGGTTCCCGAACATTTGTTATACGTTTCTTATAATAAATATCTTCCAAACAACATTTGCAAAGAAATTTCAATTCATTACTCTCATATTGTACTCATATTGTTCATATGTTTCATATTTCAGCTAGGATCGTAGAATGAGAGCCAAGTTGATGCTAACAGTATCTCAAGATGTTCTATCAAGCGAATGAATGCTGGTCGTTGAATGAGATCATTATTGAAGAATCTTGATAATCACCCCACTCAACAACCCCTTTGGCACAGGAAGCATTTCAAGAATTCTTGTCAAAGGTGAGGGTCAATGAAGAATGAACTAGGAGGTGTTTCCACTGCCATAGTCAAAGGGTTTCAAAAGTGAAGTGATGTCGACAAACGAGAATTTGATTGAGCGATCGTCCCTCCTCTCTTCTTCAGAAACACTGCAAATTTATGATACTCCTCTCGGCTGTTCACCTTGGATTCATTTGAGTTT